ATGAAGCGAACAATAAAACACGACGGCGCTGCTGTTTGTCAGTATGAACGCACCATCCATCAAGAGGCGGTGCTGAGTGAACGCACCGGGCAGCGGTTCAGACACCATCCTACATTCATATTGTTCATCAGTCGTCAGCATCTTCAGTAAAACTGTCAGAGTTGAGAATTGAGTAAATTTTGATACCACCATCACACCAGTAAGCTGTTTTTATTAAAGCATGTAAGTCATTAATTAAGTGTAATGGATGTCATTTTACAGCCATTAATGCTGCAGGTAGATATGTTAAACTAATTATTAAAGGCTAATGGATTCTTTTTTCTAATGTAACATCAGACATGAATTGGCAGTAATTATGGAAGTTCTTGAGACTTTAATAAAGATTTAATAATCTACAAAGTCTGCAGTACATATTGAAAGACATCAGTCATCGGTTGCTATTATTACTTTATCAGAAGTCAAAGAGGGGTTGCCAGGCAACCGGTGGAGATACTGCACAGAGGTGCTGGATGAACGCTTTGGACAAAAACTGTTGTCTTTGCTGATTAAACAAACACAACATGCTCATTAGTAAGCTGCTGAAATGCACATTTTTGTTTCTAGTTAATTATTTATCCTGTTTGCTTTCATGCAAATTCCATAGCTGCAAAAGACAAAAGCGGTACTGAGCTTTTCATTTAAATCTACAAAGTGCTCATCTATATTATTCCTCCAACGACTTTTTTTTACGGTTTGTGATTAACCCTCTGAACCCCAAGTAGTTTCCAGGTGTTTTATGCTTCTGTCACATTTTTACTAACGTTTTCACTGCAATATAAAGTCCTGCACCTTCATGGAAACATCACATCCATGACTATTAGTAAAGAGAACCTAAAAATGTATTTTGTGCAGTATGACACAATTATAATGTAATAGATTATTTAAAAATAAATACAAACAAAAGCCAAAATTAACATTATTTAAGGCGTACACAGATGCTACCACTACTGGATGTACTGGACTACTACTGTACTATAGATAGCTTATCTTTTTTAATTTGTTTCCTATGCTTGTTCCCTATCTGCAGCGTGAACACAGCCTGCAGTTCAGTCGAGATTAGAGAAAAAAAATGTGATTTTTTTTTGTCATGAAGATTGCAGAATTTAGTTTTGTTTTTTTGTTTTTTTACAAAATGTGGTTAATGCAAGTGAGTTGCTCGGTGGCTAGCACCGTTGCTTCACAGCAAGAAAGTCACCGGTTCGCATCCTGGTGAGGACACCCGGGATCTTTCTGTGTGGAGTTTGCATGTTCTGCCCGTGCAGCGTGGGTTCTTTCCAGGTTCTCCGGCTTCCTCCCACAGTCCAAAAACAAGGCAAAAGGTGTCCCACAAGACTCAATCCTGGGGCCTTTGCTGTTCACTTTTTATATCCTGTATTTGACCTTGTCTCTATTGTATCCAGTTGCAAAGCAATCTCTATGCTGAAGAGACAATATTTTAGTGTGGATACTGCACATTCTGCCATCAGGTTGCACTCAATGAGCATGAATTAGTGCTCAAGCAGGCTGCAAAGTGACTCAGTGGTTAGCATTGTTACCTCGCAGCTAGAAGTCAGCTGGGATAGAGTCCAGCCCCCCATGACCCTAGTGAGGATTAAGCGGTGTATAGATGATGGATGGATGGTTAATCCAAACTGTTTCTATCTGCTGAATTCCTCAATGAGACTTGTAGAATAAAATAAGTTTCATAACATATCATGATTTTAAGCCTATTTCGGTTGGGTTTTCTGAGAAATTAGTAGTTTAGGAACTGCTGGAAAGCTGACAATCTGACAATTAATTCTGTTTATTCTCTAGTTTTCAAACATGGCTTTTCAGTCTGCTGGTGAGTTTTCGGATTCAGAGGGTTAAATTCTCTGCAGCCCTTTCCCACATGTTGAGTGGTCACACTGTCCCCTGTGAGTGTTTCTCAGAAGTGTCACACTGCAGAAGGATGAAACACATTTGTCACCATTTAAACAGCCAAACATGGTTTCAGTGATCTACAAAGCATTATAAAGTTCTTCAGAAACAAATACTTGACCCTTTTAGAAATGACATTTTGAGACACAACAGAACGAGCTCCTGTTGACATATTAATTTATGTTGTTGTACATCAAATTAAAGATGTGACGTGTTAGCTGATTAGCAACAGCAAAAACACAATAAATCCCCCTCTGTCTCTGTTTGGACTGTTTTTGTGTTTCTCTTCCATCCCAGCAAAAAAAAAAAAACAGAAAAAGAAAAAAAAGTCCACCTGCTGCTCTCCATCATCTTTGTGTTGCATAGATGCATCAAGGCCAGGAGTTCTTCAGAGCAGCAGACTGTGAGGTGAGACGAAGACAAACATGGCTGCTCAGTGGGATGATGACTGATTGGGCCTGTGAGGGTTGAAATGCCGGAGGGTGGGGAGGTGGGGGGGCAGCAGCTGGCTTCAGGGCATGATTTACTCATTTCCGTCGCAGAAGACGTTCCCCACATAAAGAGGCTGATTAGTTAGAATGCAAAGAGGCTGTTGAAGCGAATAGAGAAGCAGCTTCGGCGACAGTTATCAACTCAGTCCCGCGTCGGCCCGGATTCCCAGCGGAGCGTCGGTCTGTCACATCGCCGACGAAGAGCTTCCTCACGTCTCGCCTCCCTCTCTTCGATCTGAGTGGGCAGACGAGACTTCAAGGAAGATCATCCCTCTGCTTTTAATTAGGCTTTTTAATTATAGAGTTGAGATGCTCTTCACAGAGACTTGCGCTGACGTAACACTTGAGGAGAGGCGATGGCAAGAGGAGGGTAAGTGTGTCACTATCAAAGATCTGCCAACCATATTCAACTGTTTTTTTTTTTTTTTTTTTCTTGATTAAAAGACTCGTGTAGCAAGTAGAAAAGATTTTCTCCAGGGAGTTTTGCAAAGACGGACACAATGATTCATCACATTTCGCCTCGAGTGAGCAAGTTATCGTAGAGAGAAAATGAAAAGTCCTGTCTCGGAGTATCCTCTCTGATCACTGAAGAGATCAAACCCACCTTTTTTTTCCCAGCTGTGTCAAAGGCCTTTAATCATGCATGAGTCATACTACTACGTACAGTTTGTTCTAATCACAACTGCTGCATCGTATCTGTAAGCGGCGAAGTAGTTCTGTTTCAGTAATTGCAGTAATTACACAAATTTCCTTTCACGACTGACATTTTTGCAGATTTCTCCATTACACAGACAAATATCTCATTTTTTTTACTTAAATATAAGCTACGGTAATGCCGGGAAGCTCTAAATGTTGGATGTGATAGTACATTTAGCTGTTTTTCAGCAGAGTACATAACCAACCATGCAACCGGAGCAACGCACTGCGATGCAAATACTGCAAGTGATGTAAAAGTCCAGCTGTTTCTGGGCTTAAAATGCAAACCTTTGCCGTCTACGGCTCATCTGTGCAGGTCTAACGAGGGTCTCCAGCTATGCTCGCAGGTCTGTGACAGAACAGGTCGCGGATACTTTCACACTTCAGCACACCTGATTAAACGCTCAAAAACGTAGGTGTGATTGTGGGACTATTTTTGGCTGCAGAGCCGCTGATGGAGAAGAGGTTTACGCGCTGTTGGGCATTTAGAAAAGCACTTTTTAAAAAAAAAAGTATACCTGATAGCCTACTGTTTTGAACTTTTTTTTGTCTTGTCTTGGAGGTAATTGTCTGTTACAGATGGTAAACTGTGAGAGCAACATTAACAAGAATAACTGGTGAGACTATGAAAAGAGCTGCCAGGTTGAGGTGGAAAAAAAACATTTCTAAAAGAAAATTCCTTATGATCTTTGGTTAGGCAGCAGTTTGTCAGATGAAATGGAGGATAAAAGATGAGAAAAGAAGGAGGATTCTGCAGGTTTTGTGATGATAAGATGGAGCTCATTTAACCGAGTGAAAGGGAGATGAAAGGCCGGATATCTACATGTAGAGAAATGATTGCCGGTTTCAAAGAAAGAAGGCTGCAAAAGTCGTCCTCATGGTTGCAGAAAGCGACAGAGGAGCTCGGGAAGAAAAGGTTTGAATAAAAAGGAGAAAAGACACAGGGAGGAAAATCGGCAAGACAACAGGAGAAGATAGAAGACTGTGTAGGAAAGGCAATGAGATGAGTAGGAGGTGGAAGTTACACCAAGAACAAAAGCAAACCGGCCCTAAGAGACAGTCAAACACAATGTTGCATATAAATGCACTCAGGCTTTGCATTGTTTGTGCATTTATTCTTCTTGCTACTCAGAAAAGAAAACAGCTGCAGTGAGGATGAAACACAACAAAGTTTGTCTGTGCTCACTGGAAATCTCAGATACAATTTTAGAAACCAAACACGGTCCAGTCTGCAACATGCACACGTGTGATGTGGAAACTTAAAGCCTCTGGTGAAAATAGAACTTTCATTAAAGTTGGGAAGATCTTGTGTCAAGCAGCTTTTACAATGAGCAGCTTTTGCACATTCAATGATTAATACTTGAGGGGAAGTAGAGTGTGTAATTTTGAGAATAATTTCGCAACTTAATTCCAGGTATTATTCAGTCTGGAACCAGAGGGAATATTTAAAGTTGTGATCTCATACACGCTTCAGATGGCCACCTGTATCACCCCATGGAAAAACTCATGACATATAAACTATAAATGGCAGCAAAAGGTGATAGATTTCAACACTTCATACAAAAATCAATCGTCCAGCTGCGTATTCTTTGACGAAAAAGTAGAATCTGCATACTGAGACATCAAGGTGCGAGAAAACACTTTAAATTGAAACTGCATCAGAGGAAGATGCAGCAGAAGGAGAATCAGTCAGAGCTGTTTGCGAGGTCCAAATCCAATGCAACTCCATATGTTTGTTTTTTTTATATCCATATGGTTTTATGTATCCCTCCATAAGAATTTACAGTCAGTCCACATATGTGATCCTTACCTTTACCTTGTTAATGAAATGAAAAATACTTTATTTATCCCAGAAGGGAAATTCAATTTAAGTGTGATGAGCCCCGAGCGGGATATGAACCCGGGGCCTCCGATGCCAGGACTAGTTCCCGGTGCGGGAAGGGGCCGCTTAGCGTGGTGAGCTATGTGCACCCTGTTAACCTGTCCATGTGGTGTTTTATTCATAATAAGACAAATCATGTGTAGAACAAGCAGTCAGCACCAGGGCTGAACACTGTAACGGTGAAACTGCAGATTAGAAACACAGATTAAGAATTTCCCACTTTCATATTTAACAAACCTAAAGAACCAATCCTGACAACTAGTGGAGTAGAGCTTTCTGTAAACTCTTCTTCAGAAATGGTTTTGTCAGAGAATTCAATCCAGTATATAAAACCATTTAAGACATGTGATAGCAAATGTTTGATATGCATTTATAAATATACATATCGCATAATGATGGCAAATAATCTGAATTTTGAAAATCAAAGGAAGATTTATGTGTCTCATCCAGTGAACTGTCAAAGAAGGCTTTAATATAGCTTTAATGTAGCTCTGTATGCTCAGTCACAAGATGGGCAGAACAGATTTCCGATGTGGTTTGGATGTGAACGTCACTTGGAAAACTCTGGACTTACACAATGTCACACAGGAAATGACTGAAAGAGTGGCAGGTGATGACTTGAAAAATCTTGTGTCACGATTGATGAGAGGATCTTGTGACGCATGTTGGACAGTGTAAAGAATGACACTTGCGTCGATGCACTTTGTGGCCTCATCGGATGCTGTCGAGATAGACTTTGTGCATTCTGTATGATTTACAGTGAACGTAAAAGCAGACTGAAGATCCCTGACTCTCAACACAATCCACAACAGCTTTCGGTTCAGGACTGAATTACTCCAATATTACAGCTTACCGTTGTGTTTTACAGTTTTACTGTGTTTGAGCAGATTTGGCAGGTGAGCCGGTGTGCTCGAGCTGCTTGAGGAGTGGAGGACTGGATGGAGAAAGAGGCAGAGATACCAGATGCTCACATACTAAACGAGTCAAAGGCTTAGACTTACATGTAAGCTATTGTTTCATTGGGGGAAAAAAAAACTTCTGAATATGTAGCTTTGATCCACAGAGATGAGCTTTCAGGTGTTTGTCATTAAAGGGAGATTAAGATTTCAGCCCTTGTTAATGTGGTGACACCTGTGGTTACCAGTAGTAGCCAAAAGATCATTTTTCGTATTTGTTTGCAGTGCAGGGCCCTTGCAAGGTGGCTCGGTGGTTAGCACCGTCACCTCGCAGCTAGAAGATCCCTGGTTCACGTCCTGGTTAGGTTAGGACACCCGGGATCTTTCTGCATGGAGTTTGCATGTTCTCCTTATGCAGCGTGGGTTCTCTCCGGGTTCTCCAGCTTCCTCCCACAGTCCAAAAACATGTTGAGGTTAATTGGTGATTCTAAATTGTCCATAGGTGTCCAGGGTGTTGGCTGGGATAGACTTCAGCCCCCCATAACCCTGGTGAGGATTAAGTGGTGTACAGATGATGGATGGATAGTTTGCAATGCAGCCCAACAAACTCAAATTTTCTGAACAAGTCTCCTGCAGCTCTCCATCTAAAAGCTCTCTGGGGCTGCTGTTCTTGATTCATGACTCAATGAACAATCGAAAGTGATCTACTGATGAATAAATGGATGTTCATCGTGCACCATTTGTGTCTTACTGCAGGGAAAAGTGGGCAGTCACACTGGATCACATGCAGGCTTTTCTGTATGAAGACAGTTTGTGTAGAGCGGGAGGATGATGCTCTCTGCCACAGACAATAAAAACTACTGTATACAGGTAATATCCTGATGATAACACAATGGATGGTTGATCATAACCTGGTTAGAGCCCATTAAAATCCTAAAGGTTACACCTTTAAGGCGGTGATATCTTCTGTCCAACGTACCATGAGGGTGTGTAAGTGTCTGCAGTGCTTCTTTGATGTGACCTTTTATTTATACTAACTTGCCAGAATTCATTTCCTTTGCAAGTCATTAGTTTTCCTGTGAGTAGAGGGACAACTGAAGGCCAGAGCATGAGATGAAGGGAGCAGGTAATAGGCAGGAAGAGAGCATGGAGAGCGGGAGGAGGATACAATTGTTATTTATTGACGTGTTGTACCCTTGGTGAGATAGACACGAGGGTAACCATGGAAACCAACCAAGGTATGAGTCACGGCTAGCAACATTAGGGTGGGATGTGGGCAAAGATTGAATGAGGTTTAAATTGTTATCAAAGGCTTCATAAAACAAGCCAAAGGGAAATGATTGCAGTTTGACTCACCCGCGCAGGATTTATTCTCAGAATATTCAGGTGCTTTAAATCAGATTCTCTGTAATGAAGTATGTTGTATTTCTTGTTTTCTGACAAATAAATATGTTTTGGTTGAGAGCTCAATTGTGTAAATTCAATTTTGACTGCGCGAACACAGCTGCTCCTCTTTGTCACTTTCAAACCTGCTGAACTGAACTTAGCTGTTCCTGTGTTTTGTAGCAGAGACACACAAAGCTGGGCTGAATTCAGCGCAAACACAGCATGCAATGTCTCTCCCAGGGCTCCTAAATTAGAGGCAGTAAAGTCCGATTGTTTTTTTTTGTTGATGAATGCAATAATTTCTAGGGTATGAACTTGCATCACCAATGTCACAGCAGATATCGAGGAGCAATCTTACAGTAAATATGCACAGAGGGAATGTTAACTGCACGCAGAGGACAGCTCGGTGAACATGCAAAACTGCTGAACAATAAATATCTCCCAGACGTGACACAAATACTCACAGGCACATCAGTACTTCCTGCACTGTAATGTTCTCCTTTAGTGTGCCTGGTTTCCTTCGGGAGAATTTCCTCCTGAATATGATATATGGTGTGATTAATTCAGGCAGAAGTGCAGCAGGAGAGCACAAGATGAATGGCCCGGTCCTTTTTTTATTTTTTTTTTAAACTGTAAGAACTTAAGTGTTTGCAGTTTTCAGTATGTCACAAGAATGGAGGTTTTGTAGGGGTACCCCAGTGGATATGGCAACTTTGTCATATTCACATTATTTTTATTTATGTAGCCTGAAAGTCACAATTCATCCCACAGGAGTTTACCATCAAGACACTCAATGCAAATAAAGGAAATCTCTCTGAAAACACTCTTTAATTGGCTAAATGTGTCAAGTTGACAAGTTTTTAAAAGACCTTTAAAGTATTTGTAACAAAGAGTAAATGTGAGAAATAGTTGAGGATATTTATCAGAGCTGACAACAAAGTCTGAACCTCTTCCACCCAGTAAGCCTTTTGCATCTCGGACCAAAACAAACACATCGGCCACATCTCCATTGTACTTTATTTTAACAACCAGAAAGGTTGTGCACACACAGAAACATCCAGCCACCACCATGAGCCCACACTATCACTGTAAAATGAGCTGATGGTAACTTATCTTCACTTCACCTAAATCTTCTTTATTGTGCTTGAGTGGACCGGATGTGTGGAAATAGATACACAAAGACTATTGTGGAACAAATACGAGTGGTGGAGGCGGATTAGAGGAGAACCTCAAAACAGCAGTCGAGACTCTCGAACTGAGCTGAAATGAGACAAATGCACATAAACCATCCATCCAGCCATTATCTATACACTGCTTAATCCTCACTAGGGTCATGGGGGGCTGGAGTCTATCCCAGCTGACTCAAGGTGAAGGCAGGGGTTTTTGAAGTGTGGAAGGAAGCCGGAGAACCCGAAGAGAACCCACTCTGCACGGGGAGAACATGCAAACTCCACGCAGAAAGATCCCAGGTGTCCTCACCGGGATGTGAACTGGCAACCTTCTTGCTGCGAGGCGACGGTGCTAACCACCGAGCTACCTTGCGCACATAAACTAGATCGATAATACTACAAAAATACTTAGTTGTTTTTGGGGGTGCTGGCTGAACATTGGCATGCACTTTCGCTTTTTCATGAAATTTGGGAAATATCGTCTCAGTCTGTTTATAAGCATGAGGAGGGCCAACAGTTTCAGTGGGAAGGACTCACATGCCGAACATTTAATTTTGCCAAAACAAGAACAGACAAGCTCAGATGACAACACGTGTATACACCAGATAGTTGTTATTTATGTTCACAATCTTGCATATAACGTCTTAGAAGAAATAGGTTGATGTAATTTCACTTTTTCTTTCCTTGTCACCAGTGTTTGATCTCCTGGTTGTAGTTTAAAAGGAACACAACTGAAAATGTCAGACTTACATTAAATTCTCATCAAGAAAAGTTTCAAAGTTCTCAGAGACACTAATGTCAGACAGATGTGTAGGAAAAGAAAAACGGAGGGTGGGAAAATATGTTTTATTTACCTGATACTGAAGGAGCTGGTTGGTAAAAATGAAGTTCATGCATGTCGTGCTGTCCTTTACCAAAGATTCATTCCCCTGAAATTACCATGTCTGCTATTTAGCATCAGGAGCATTTAATCAAGACACCTTAGGTGTTTATCTCAGATGATTGTCTTATGAATTCGGTAATCAGTCAGGAGAAGATGGGAAGCCTCATTGACTTGGACGACTGCTGGCGAATATTCTCGAGTCTCTCAGCAGACTCAATGAATGATGAATTTCATGCTCGGCTACGAAGATGAATTATTTAATGTAGTTTTAAGCAGGTTTGACAGAGAGGCTCAGAGAGAAGAGGCCAAACAGAGATAACACATCAGTCAGTGTGCATATGTCTGTGTGTGCTGTTTTTAATAGTAGAGGAGACAGCTTTTGACATTTCAACAATAAATGATGACAGATGACAGCTTTAAAAAAACACTGACCGGTCACGCTCTCCTGTCAGACGGAACTTCAGGACGACTCGGCTGCTCTGCGGCGTGACTGTGTGTCACTCATGTCAAATGAAGATCTCTCCATCTTCAAAATGCTTCAAAAAGAGTTGAAAAAAACAAACTCGTAATCCAAGAACGACACTAAAAACTGCAGGAGAGAGGCGGCTTTAGAGGGCGGGGGGAATTATCATAAGAGAGTTTGCTTTAATGTCAACCACACACACTGAAAACCATAGAATTTAATGTGTCTTTACATTTGTGATGTGGACTCAAGGTTGGCATTTAGGTTGACCTTTCTTCTGTCTTTATTAAACATAAGGTTGATGTTATGATATTGGATTCACTCACCTGTAGGTTTTCACAATATGCTGAAGACCAGAACTCATGGAGATCTCCAGACAGAAGTTTGATGTTTTCCAAATGAAATTGGATATAAAGCCCCATGCAGCACAGTGTATGTAGGATCAGTCTGATTTACCAGATGTAGACTTTCTGGTATAAGCCTGCGATTGGCTGCATGTTTCACACGACTTGCACCTCAATGTGGGAAACAACCAGTGATGTGCCATCAGAGGCCTTCTCTGCTGCCCTAAACTCTATCAGAATCACTGACTTATGTTGTAATATTTTCCCATTAATCTTTCCTGTTCTCTTCATTTCATAGAGTGTCTCTGGGCTGTGGTGCTTCCCAGCAGCATACGTTTATATTAGAGCTTTTATCCAATCATATTTCAGTCATCATGTGTTGCCGGGGTCAAAGAAATCTGCCCTGAGGGATTCAGAATCAAAAGTGCAGGGACCTGTGACTTAAAATGCATCACAATGAAAGTGTTGCTTTAACCAATCAGATTGAGAGCTGGTGGTCCCAGGGCCAGGTAGCTGACAATGACGTCAGCACTTTCACGTCCTCTGATTGGACGGTCAGAGAGCTCAGCCGAAGCTAGTGGTTCTTGTCTGTAGTGACCTGCACAAGCTAAAACTTTATCTTAAAAGTATTAGGTTTTTGTTTTTAAGTTAAGCAAGCGGACATTCTACAGTGAATTAAAACTGATGCCAGAAACACGACTGGACAAACCCGACTTTCAGCATCAGCCTCCACGGAGATGGAACAGGACTAATTGTTGGAAGTGAAACGCACTGATTAGCTGTACAACAGAGTGACTGAACTGTTTATGATGAAAGAAATGGAGTTTGTGTTCTAATAATCACAAGTTTTGCTGAGTAAAATATATACATTTGTCCTTTTATTGGGTTGATATTGATGCTCCTGTCAGATGTGGTTGCAGGAAACAGGACTTCTTGAATTGTTTTAACTGAGTTTCTTGCTTTAATGATGGAATTCATTCTGGCTACATGAGAAACCTGTCTGCAATGCAACATCCTGTTATGCTACCTTTCTGCATAATACTGATGGTTTCTATCACTGTGGCGTCATGGTTAAGTATTAAGAGGTGGTTTGATTCAGGTAGGACGCTACTGAAGGCCTCGGAGTGAAATGCACGGCCCACCACTGGAGACAACAGCAGCAGCATACCACTGAAAAGTTTTGTCTACAGTTTGGATCCTGCTAGTTTTTTTTTTTTTTTTTTTAAAGTTAAGCAAGCGG